GGGTGAGGTTCAAAACAAATTTAATAAACAATTCTACTTGAGGTGTGCTCTGTACATTTCATATCCCCGACGCGCCGCGCATTCGTCGCCCCATTTGTCTGGCTCATAGAAACTGACGGATACCACCTAGCTCCTCCTGGTTGCGTTTTTTAATGGAAAGTAAAATCTTGAAATTTAATGCGTAATATTTTATGAAATTTCAAAAATTTATGTGATTCAAAATATTTTTCAAAATTAAGTGCCGAAATTTATAGTCTTTGCTTCGATGTGTTTTTCAGCGCGTCTAGTGTGCCCTGCTCGGCTCCTAAGAAATATGTTTCATATCTATCACACCCTCGGAAAATTTAATTAAATATTTCGCGGAAATAGGCACTACACAGTGCACTGGTAAAAAAAACCTCTTGGACCAATGCCGCGGTGCATTGACTAAAGAGTGCAGTTTCTTGTCGCCGGATTGTTGTTTGAAACAAGAGTCTGGACTCTTGTTTCAAGCAACAATCCGGCGACAAGAAACTGCACTCTTGAACCAAGAGGTTTTTTTTTTTTTTTTTTATCAGTGTGCTCCTTAGAAATTCCATTTCACTCGTGCAACCCTGTCCGGAGGCGGCAACATTGTGAAGGCATGCGACAAAATCCGGGACCGCTCAGCGCCAGTCAAAGCAAGCATGAGCGGTCGTTGAAAAAAAGACTCGGGAGGAAATTGCATGTTTGTAAAAGTAACAATATCAGTTTTCGGCTCACTCCCCCAAACAGTTCAAGAACACCTAAGGGTCGCGGGAGCCGCGCGAGGCGGGGGGGGGGGGGGGGGGGGGCTACTAGGCGCGGAAGGGGCCCCGCTTGCTCTTGACAATGAGACGCGGAAGAATTAAGTCTGAGAGGAGGGCAATCTTGTTACGAGGCATAATGGAGGCAGGTCTCCGAAATCGTCCCATTGTCGGCACGATTGTTGCACTCCTATTGTGCGAAAAAACCCAATCTCCGAGGTATTGGTTACCTAATAACCGGTTGCCCTGCATCGCGAATCCGCCGACAGAGCGGTGACACTCCTGTGACGTCATTCTCTCGTCATCCATTGGTTCAGTAGCCTTAGATGATCCATGGGCCCCATTGCGCCCATTCCCCGAAGATAGTACCGAATTTCGGAACTTTGGAGGTTTTACTGAATTTTTCCCGGAACTTTTGAAATCCTCGAAACGTTCCGGATCTTGTGCGTTTTCCGGAACTTTCTCGGACCTTTTGAAAAAATCTAAAAAGGATCCTGGAACTTTCGACGGTCGAACACGGAGAAAAAGAAACAAAACTTCTGTATACTTTACTTTTTGTAACAAAAAGAAAAACGCTCTACTTGAAATTTTGCCTCCATTTACGTATTGTAGAACCCCTTGTTCAGTATTTGGTCACATTTAAAGCGTCGGAAATTTACACGTAGGGTCGCAGTTTTGAATCAGAAGTGTTTGGGAATTGTGACTTACACTGGTAAAAAAAACCCTCTTGGTTCAAGAGTGCAGTTTCTTGTCGCCAGATTCAAGAGTCTGGACTCTTAAAGTCCGCTTGAATCATCAATTGATGCAAGATCTGCTTGAATCAATGCAAAATCCGCTTGAAACAAGAGTTATTCAAGATTCTTAAATCCGGCGATAAGAAACTGCACTCTTAAGTCAATGCACCGCGGCATTGGTCCAAGAGGTTTTTTTTTTTACCAGTGTATATTTTGATTCGCAATTTACTATTACAATAAAATGGGTAAATCTCTTATTTTTTTTAAGTTGCATGGGTTAAGCTTTGCCGCTTTTGACAGTTACTAATAATCGGTGACATTCTTTGCAGTTATTAAAGTATTCCGGAAAATTGGCACTGATTTTGCGGCGAGGGCCCGCTCTCCCCCGACAGTGATGATTGATCGTGCAAGAGAGACGCTTCAACATAACTTGCTTATCACTATCTAAATGCTTCCGCCGGTGCCACGGCTCCGAACTTTCTCCCCTCGGAGCCAGTGGCGTGGCGTGAATGGTCGATTATCGATATCTCGCCGTTTGAAGCTATGGTAAAGAATCGATTACTGGGGTGCTCGCTACGAACACCCTGATAATCGATCTTTTCACATAGGTTTGAGTGGCGTATCAATCGATATATCGCAAAGCACGCCACGCCACTGCTCGGAGCGGGGATTCATGCGCACACGCGCTCATTTCGGCAGCAACGGCTGGAAGTAAAGAGAATATTTACGCAGCTAATGACGATGTTACTAATTCTTCATCGAGCTTAGTTGAGCGTCGCGTCGCGGGACGACGCGGACGTCATAAATCAGGCGACGCGACGCCCCGTCCCTTCCCGACGCCGCCCTCGCAGGGATGGAGGGTCGCGGGGGTCCCGTGAAAAGGCTTCCTTGTTTTCGGCTCCTCTACAGGCTAAATTTAATTTCGTCCCGCGCAGCGCAAGACCGCGGAGGTAATCGCGGACACCACTTACACATTAATAGGGAAATTTATTCGGCCGCGTGATAATTGGCCCGGCAATTAAGACCTCGAGCCTCTTGGCATCTGGACGCATTTCTGCCCAACGGAACTATGTGCATTATGACGTGAGCCCTGTTGCGCATGTGTTCTGATGTGTCTCAGGGCTCATATCGTAATGTACGTAGTTCCGTTTGGCAGAAATACGTCCATCTGATATTCTGATGAGATCCCCGACCGCGCCGCGTCCTCGCCACCGAGGGGCCAGAACCTCCGCAAGGGTGCAGATTTAATAAATCTCAGATGAATCTTATCACTGGACGATTAGACAAACGTCCGGAGATAGTTCGCTACGAAACAAAATACACTTTACTCAATTTGTATGTTGGGTCGATTTTGCTAGTTACAGAATCCGTCGCTTCCCCCACGAAGACACGTAACTATATTCCAAGGTTGCCATATTTACTCGAACAATGCAATTTTTTAAAGGATGTGCTTGTGCAAGTTTTTACCATTAATTTTTTCTGATTCCTGCACATGATCAGAGGAAGAATCAGGGAAATTTTCAGTCAGATATGCCCAAGATTCTTCAGGGGAAATTCAACTTACGAGTGGACGTTTAACGACATTGAAATGTAGTTACGTTCTTTAGTAAAAGAAAGAAGAATCATGTTTGGATTTTAAAATTGAAGATTGGCGGAAAAAAAAAATGATTTGTTCAACCGCCAAGTTTCTGCGCAAAATATTAACGGAGATATCTCTCATTGACGAAAGTGGCGCATGACATGGTACCGCCGTAGTGTACATCATGATTTCTTCCACCTTGGTTTCAGCCGTGTTTCAGTTCGATCAATTAGTGCAATTGTGTGTATCACTGAGTGATGAGAATAAGATGGAAGGAACCATGATGTGTAAAACAGTAGTAAATGATGTCTTGCGCCGTGTTTTTATGGTCGAAAAATTGTGAACGCAGTTTTAAGCCGCTATAGCTAGGAATAAACCGAGTGATCATGACCGGAACCCCTGCGAGCAACTATTACTACTCCTAAGCCGCTACGGTTGCCTATCGAGATATTGAAGGCGAACTGGTCGGAACAAGTTAGAAACGATGTGAGTGGAGTATTCAGCCAAGCGGCTATGAATGAGTCAAGTAAATCCTGCGAGCAACCATTACTACTCTAAAGCCGCTGAAATTGCCTATCGAGGTATTGAAGGCGAACTGGCTTGAGCGAAAGACAAATAATGTGAGAGGAGTTTTAATGCCACGAATAAAACAGGGGTCGCAAATTTGAAATGTTGGCTTTTGAGGACTCATAATTAAACCATTTAATGGTATTAATGGGATCTCAAAGGCCGCAAAAGCAATTTGACACTTACAGGGAGTTGGTTCCATATCGTTAGTCACAAAAAATGCCAGCAAGTTCGGGGAGAAGTTAAAAAAAAAAAAAAGTATCATATAGCAAATAATCAAATTTCTATGGGGTAGTGAAGTATGGCTGAACTGAATTTAATCCCTTCATCGTAAGTACCATTCCTCTAAGTTCTGTAAAGTAAGAATCGTCGTAAGAAGGGTACTTTGCCACTTGCTCTCGCATTTCTAAAATAATTTTTTAGAATGATTCCTGATTCCAATTTAACATCCTCCAGCATATGTCCATCTGAGGTATTCTAAAAACACGCGACTTTCTACCGGAATCAGAGGAATTTAAAATACAGCATTTATTTCGGTCCAAACGTTCCGACCGGACATTTCAGCGGCTAGCATGAATGCGGCTAGACCAGGGAAACTTCTTCGTAGGATTGAAAATAATTTGGGAAGAGGAATTTTTATTTCCACGCGCGCGCATCCCGAAGCGCACGCGATGAGTGCGCGCGGCGCGCCGCACGGGTTCCGTAACTGAGTTGCCTTCGAAGGAGGGAAAATTTCGAATTTGGAAGCTAACTCCTAACGAAGCTTTTCCTTTCAGGCGGAGAGCTGACAACCCGCTGCAAAGGAATGTGATTCACGAGCGGTGTCCAATAAATGTCCACATTCCGTCCACTGTCCCCGGCCAGGACCCGATTTCATTCCAATAATTTAAATGTTGACACGTAATATTTACATTTGTTTACCTCGGACACGGTCCTTATTCATCGCGACCCATTCAAGTATCGTCTCATTCTACCTCCACTTTTCATTCTGGTTTCGTTTATTTTCTGTCTCTTTCTCTCTTTCCACCAATTTTATTTCATTTTTCCCGCTGGATCTTCTTCCTTTTTATTCGAATAACTGTCCAGACTCATTCCAATTCATTGACTTCGTTCTTTCATTTTGTTTTTGTTTTTTTACAGCAGTACTCATTGTGCCCTTATTTGAAAAGTTTCTTTCGAATGCATAATTTGCTGACAAGAAACTTTTGCCAGTGTTAATGATTCTATTCCATTCAAGAAAAAACCTCTGAATGATTATTGCCTCTATCAGGATTTAAAAGTCAAATCAGCTCCTTGTCGAAGAGGTTTCATTAAGACCCGGAAAAATACCACATCATGGAAAAGTATGTCGTCAAATCATTGTCAGCTAACAAATTAAGCATGAAATCCAACTTACATTATGTAGCTTATAGTAAAGGCCACACGCATTGCATACAGGTTCCCCATTTTGATTTCTCCTCCATAAGGTCGTTGTCGTTGTTTTACAATTTGCACAACTAGTCCCTGCTCTCCGCGCGGCCGATTGTAATGACTGCAACAAAAACAATAAAACAAGATTATTTTAACCATATTTTTACGATGTACAAATGATCGCGGCTTCGTAATCAATGGTAAAGGATCAAATAATTTTGAAAACAGACTGGTAAATGAAGCCTCAATGTGAGAAAGATAATATATCAGACAAAAATTTGGATAGGAATACAAATATTGATTCTATACCCTTCCTCCCAATATTTCACAAAAAACTAAGAGGGGTTAACCATGAAAAAGATAATATGAAAAATAAATTCACCATCGATGGGAAAAAACCAAAAACTAAGTTGCTTAAGGTAAATTAACATTGATCGAAAGAGTGCGGCTGGTGCTGAAATTACCGGTGGGATTCTTCTTACGCTGAGAAAATCGGTCCAAAACTCATTTTAATTACCGTACCTCCAAAATATAGTCTCGGTCCCGATTCAAGGAAGTGATCAAGACTTCAATTATTTTCCCATAACACTATCTGCGCTATTCGCAGAGGAGGTGGCGGTCGGAGGCGCAAAAGCAAATACCCTCCATCACGACGGAAAAGACGGCCTCACGGTGAAATAACAGCGGTAATAATGCGCTAATAACAGTAATTTCAATAAGGATAACAATAATAACAATATTTGAGGGATTTATTAAATGGCGATGGAAGCGTTAAAAGGATGTTTAGTAAAATCGAGAGGCTGGAAAAGAGGTGTATTGATTGAGAGTTGAGGAGATAAGCGATCGAGTGTATTGGACGTGAGGAAGATAATGCATAAGAGATGTGAGCGCGGTTGACTCATTGCTTGAAAAATTGTGTGTTTTCTTGATTGATACTACTTAATATTTGAGTATATTTACTGTGTTTTGGCTATGCAGGAAGGGTGGTTAACGTTGATGGAAAGCCTCATGTTGAGTCTTATAGCAATTTGAAATTGAGTAGAGTTGATGCGCCGCTTCAGAGGGCCACTCGACCATGGCTGCCAACTCAAAGTACCTAAGACTCAAAAGTCAAAAGCTCCACACGCAACATCTCTACTTAGTGCATTGTTGATTTTTTTCTCTTCCTTCTAATATTTTAATTTTACCTTTTCCGTTTCTTGATGCATATGTGTAGTGGTATCCTTCGTTCATCATCCGGAAAATAGGAAATGACAAATTTCGACCAATATGATAGCAAATATAAAGCGTAGTTACCAATTAGTATATATAAGAAAATTATCCTTCCAGAATGCTCAATTTTGCGGTTCACCTTTCTTTAAAACGTTTTGACACTAAATCTTTAATTGACAGTCCGGAATTGAACTTCGACCTTAAATGATAGAAAATTCAAGGTTCGTCTAGTTTTTCCCTGCCAAGAAAAGCACAGATACTAGATCCAGAAAAATTATCGTTAGTTTCATATTTTTTCATAAAAGAAAAATTATCATCACCGTACCGTGATTTGTGACTTTCCTTAAACTTGATTGAAACATTTTCTCAAAAAATCAAGAACATGTTGCCATTTTGCTTTTGAAAAAAGCAATAAAGAATTCCTAGCGCATGAAAGTCAAAATATGTTTCGCTCTGACATGATTTTACCCATCCACAAGCTTTAATCGTATACTCATATTAATAATGTCCTATCGGGCAACATCCTTTGATACGAAGCAACAATACTAAAGTGACGATGCAATATTAATAGCATTGTAGCCACCCAACAAAATATAAACATGTGTTGCCTAATCACGCCTACCAATTGAAGAACTGATTTATCCGGGCGCATTTGAATTATTTTCCCTCCATTATGAATATTACCAATGCGAGCACAATAGCACTTTCCCATGGTGGAGATGATGTATCGGACTCCCCGTAACTCCCCCAGGTCTCTTTGCGGTCAAGCCGCTGGCAGGAAAATATGATCAGGAAGCGTTTAGCTTTGATTTTAATTAAACAATCATTACTTGATTGATTTAGCCTAAAACCGGTGCTCTGAAGAATTAAATATTGCCTGGAGCATTTACGGTGAGAGACCAATATCCTTTTTCACACTCTGAGAGGAATGTGATTAAATAAGAAGTAAACAGTTTTTCGTTCTGCTGCGGAAAATTTCGCGTTTGTCAAAGAACTGACTCATCACGTATAGAAAAAATTCATTTGTAGAAGCTTTCACGTCACATGCAGCGAGGTTTTCCCATTTACACAAAAAAAAAAAAAAAAAAAAAAAAAAAAAAAACCGCAACACGGAAACTTTTTTGCGATGAAGAAATTTTTGTCGTTACAACGAAATTGATTTAAAAAACCTTCAGCAATTGATATAAAAATGGCCTCCTGCAAAAACTTTACAACTACAAAAAAAAACAAATTCCGCTTTTATTACAAAACAGAATACAGAGGCACGAGTTCCGTTTCTTTAGGAGAGTGCATCTCCAAGTTTAAGCACGTTCTAATTTTATTTTTAAAGGCTTGGGAAGTTTCATGCTTTTGATTATGCGGGGCTGTATTTTGGAACAGATTAAAACGCGGCTAAAACATTGACCTGTCACGAAACATTTTCGGATGAATTCAGTTCTTTCCGTTTTCTGGATTTTTTTGTTCTTTTCAGAGATGGACATTTTTGGAAATGACACCGCACATGAGTTGAGCCCTTAAAAAATCAAAACGCTTTTAAGATGGTTTCCTTTTCTTTCTTTTTGCATGCGAGACAGGAGGTCAATTAAAGGCAATGCGGAGAATACTCCCGCGCTAAGGAAAAACGCCGTATGAGCCTTCCGGTATTGCCAAATTCTCATCAATAAAATGTAAATTTTCAAGGAAACTGTCGGATATTTTTCTTTAAATTTTTCAGACAGTTTTGTACCCAAATTGATCTAAAATATCGGAAAATTTCAAGGGAAAAAATGCATAATTTCGTCAAAAATACAATTTTTAATCCGGAGAAATTCGGCAACTCTTGAATGTTCATACGGCATTTTTCCTTAGCATGGCAGAATATAGGGACGTCGCGTTGTTGTCGAGGCGATTGCCTGTATCCCTTCCGGGTGCTTGGGCATTCAAAACTCGCGTCAGTCACAACCCTCGGGATGCTGGCGTCCCTCCCCGGGGCGCGGGGCGCGCTGGTCCTGGTTGCCACCCTCTCAACCCGTAATTCGATTCCGATTATGAGCTTATGCGGGTTGCCGAGCACGAAAAGCCAACCCATTGCGGGAGGGTCCCCGGCTAAGGGCCGAATCAGGGATCAAAAACGAATTAGGCGATAAAATAAATATAAATCAATCTGCTTGTTTGAGATGAGTGATGTGAGCAGGCTGGAAAAGAGGCGTTTGTCGGAGAAAGGACCGCCGTTTCAGAGCCGTGAGAACAGTGGCGTTTTCTCACTGAAATTTCTACACCACTATGCGGAAAGTAACCAATATTTCTGGTTCATTTCAGGAACGGCGTAAGCGTCGTTGGTCTTCTTATGTTTGAATGTGCTTTCATTATACGCCAGAAGAAGTTGCTCCTGATTGAAAAATGCTAATCGTGCACATTGCCTTCAATTTAATTTTCGAAGTAGGCGTGACAGTATCCTCCGTGCAGCAATAGTTACTTATTCGAGGGTTTGCGTCCACCATTATTGTCCACGAATCTTGCCGAACAATAAATGGACTACATTTTGCAATTTGGACCTATAAATTCTGGCTCTCCTGGAAAAACACTTATGTGCATAGGGAAACTAATAGCACATACGTCGTTTTTAAACCGGGCTAGAATTTATAGTTCCAAATTGCAAAATGTAGTCCAAATTATGTGATACTCCGACCTGCGTTAAAGTGAGGACTTTTTCGGTAAAAGGGCGTATGGGGCTTGCGATGCTGTTGAGATTGGGCAAGTTTGTGCAGCGTTTGCGACAGATAAAATCCATTTACAGTCGACTTACTTCCCTGCAAAAGTCAGGAAAAACGCAGAGCTGATTCAGGAACAAATTCATCGGACAACTATCGAACAAGTTACAACTATAAACAGAACTACGTTGCGCTTAATCTTAGCAGCATTGGAAGTCTCATACGTCATTTTACCGAAAAACACCTCAATTTAAGCTCTGCTTCGAGTCTATGATGATATACAAATAATATAATATATAATTGATATCTAATTCTAATGTTTGAAGGAGCAGGGTTTCCCTATAGTGCAACGATATTATCTTATACTTGGAGTAAATACTTTTTTTTATAATTAGGGAAGCTTAAGATTTTTGTGCGAGCTGCTTGTCAATGAATTCGATCTTCGATTTATCATTTACAATGTTATGGTATTTCAACTATTCACAGGGTGAACTTTTATGAAATGTCTTATAAGCCTCATTTTCTTTTTCAATAGACATTCGTAAATTTTAGATTTAATTTTTCTAGCAATATGGAAAAGCTACTCGTTTTGATTATTACGTTTTTTTTACAGCGATTTAACCTTTGACATTTCGATGACACTAATTTCCCCAAAATTGCGTATAGGAAGAAACAAAAGTGGAGAGGACAAGAGAATATCAAGAAGCGAGATAGCTGTAGATGAAACGATCACGAGGACAACATGAATTTGCCCCTTCTGTTGTTCAGAGGAAGAAGAACAAAATCGTTTGAATATACGGATTCGGGGGAACTGTCCAAAATTCTGGGAAAGGAGAAGCAATTTGAATATTGGAAGGCACTGCGAGCGTGTTGTTGGGGGTCTCTTAGAAGCGAGACCAGGAGATTAATAAGGATACACATGAAACCACACATCCAATTAAGAGAACGAAACCAGTGAGGAACCATGGGCCTAAATGAAACGAAGCGATGTACAACTTTTTTTTTCTTTCTTTTTGGGAGTTGGATCTTGTTTTACATAATTGAGCACGTGGTCCCGACCAAGTATGTCAACAATTCATAGTCTTTACCTGGTGACTGCTGTAATAAATTGTCAAATGATAGTCTTGTGGACTCGAGTGGCGATGTCTCCCTGAGAAATGTGGAGAGGGACATTCGGTGGGGTGAGGGCCTCGTCGCAAGGAGGCGGAAGGTCGGGTAT